TTTCTGTCCCCGTAAAAATCTTAATTTACTGTGGCCCAGGACATCTAGAAATTCTCTCAAAAAACAGAAGAGAAAAAAATTTTAATCACTTCCCTTGGGAACTCATTTTAATGCCTACCAGCACATTGGTCAAGAATATTTTCTAAATTACAGTTTCACCATTATGTAGATATGTCCAGTAAGCTTTTAAATGATTTTTGGAGCAACAGTGCAATTGGTGATATTGAGGAAATTGATCCCCATGTCGTGAAATGACCTTTCACAGGACAAATCTAGAAAACCTTGTTAAAACAGAAGGCCACACGTTCTTTGTCTCTTGATTTCTAGACAGATGACTTCCCACCAGAGTTATGATACCCTAGAAAAATTTTTAACTATTCTCTCCCCTTATCAGTTTTCATCAGGGTGTGAGATGAATGGGACATCTAACCTGGTTAGCCAAGGAGAGTTTGTGTCTTTGGAGCTGGGTGGTGGTCAGGATTTACTTAGTGGGATGAAAAGAACTAAAGGGCCGAGTTCAGTCCAACACCTAAGAAAAGATCATGCTTCAAACAGAGGAAATTAGAATGAGCTAATGAAACTCCAAAATTCTTAAGACCTATGTTGCTTTAATGGGCCATGCAGACATTCTGTATTGGAAAATAATGTAATATTGCAACTCCAGGTGGAATCAACATCACTGGTCTTTGTATGGGCATCACTCAGAGATGGCAGGGATCCCATAAGGACTACAATGAAGGCTCTGACATTTTATAGTTCTTTCGTTTTGTGTAGATCAAGGCATGGTTTTGATTAAGTAATGAAATACCATTCTTACCTCCCCATACCGATTTTTATTCCCAATATAAAGGAAGCAAATATGAATACTGTAGTTTGTGGCTAACGGCACAAAACACAATTCCATAAGTCAATTATCTTTTGCTTAAACCAATGGCTTCCTCCAAAGACAAAGAGAAGCAAATCACAGCAGCTAATCGCTGTTACACTCAAGAAGATTTCGTTATAAAATGCAATCTTGCTGTTACAGGTATTGGAGTGCGTCACAACATTCAGGTAATAGATCCTAAAGAACTGGTAGGGAAGGAAACAAACAAGGATGACCCCTATAAAAAATAGGTTTTTCAGCTGAGCCCAGAACTCCTGGTGGGATAGTAAGGAGTGGCGTAGCTTCTGCACCATCAACATAATGATGAAGACCTGGAAGACCAAAAGAATCACAGCAATGGCTATGACAAAAATGACTATCATATAGTTGATGACTTTCACATACGTGTAAGCAAGCTCTTTGTGAAATTTAAAACAGTGCTTTTCATTGTATTCCTCGTGAATTCCATACCGGGAGACAACCAGGGGTACCACAATGACAATCACCAGCATCCACAGGCCAGCACTGGCAGCCACAGCATGCAGTTTTCTGTAGAATTCCACTTTGTCTTTGCGCTTGAAGAAGATGAGGTACCTGGTGACCAGGATCACCACATAGAACAGGAATGTGAGATACATGTGGATGTGCAGCATGGCACTCACGAATCTGCAGAAGGGCAGCCCAAATATCCAAGTCTCCTTGATGAGGTAGGTCAAGCGAAATGGCACTGTCAGCAGAAAAACGCTGTGGACCACCACCAAGTTAATGACCGCCATGGTGGTCACTGACCGGGTGTTCATTTTCACCAGCAGGAACAGAATGGAAATGACCCCCACCAGCCCTCCAATGAGCACTATGAAGTAGAGGCTGATTAAGTGGGATGTCACTAAAGGGTCGCCAGAGGAATTCCTGGAGGTATTGTGGCCAGGCATACTTGGGAAGTCACCTGGAGGAGACAAAGCACCAGAGTAACTGACAAGCTTTCAGAACTTTGTTCCTATCTCTTTTCTAGCACTGACAATGTGACTTTGTCATTTTTCTGCTTACATGATATAAACTTTACATGCTTTAAGAATGAAGATTATGTCCTATGAATGTTTGCATACCCTAAACCTAAAGCACAGGAAGCCATTGATTCTTACTCTTTAATAGGAATAAAAATTGAATTTTAATCTTCAAGTTGCCCCCCAGAGATGTATGTAGATAAGACAATTTACATAAAACTTCAGGAGGATTGCAGACCATCTGGGGCTGATACTTGGATACTAGTACTGTAGTACTAGTACTACAGTAACCCTTTAAAAAGTTGTAAGATGGATAGAAAGATCGACGGATTCATGAAGTATACAATTTTTTTTTCTTATGGACATGATTATAATTCTCTAATTCTTTCTTACTTATTAGCAAATAACCCAAGAATATTCATACTTAATTCATTTAGAATACTGATTAATTTGACCAAAAATATCTTCTAAGTCAAGGCAGCAGCAAGCAATAGGAAGGTTTACCTGAATTTCTCATTATAATTATGTGATCATCCAGCAGTGAGGCCTTGCTAAGCCTTCCCATGGGCCCCACGGAAAATATAGCATGTCTCCCAATCTCTCATCTACTCTCAAAGGCCTTGAAAATTCATGACAGAGCCATCGTCGTTTATCACCCGGACTCCTGAAAGATCTGCTCCACAAATACTCTCAGTCCTTTCTAATTCATTCTCCATATTCTTATTCATTGCTTGCTATAAAAGATTTAGTAATCTTTTAATTTCACGAGAAAGTCATGTCAGTTTCCTATCTAAATCCCTTCAATGGCTTCCCATCTCTTCTAAGATAAAGATTGATAGCCTTACATGTCTGGAATGTTCTGGGTTACAGTGGCAAAATCTGATCCCTTGAGACAAGATTCAAGCAATAATCAAGAGATGAAATTGGCAGGCTTTAATGGTTTTGATATGGGGAAATGAGGCAAAATGAAGTGTCTTGATACTCTCAGATTTTTGACTTGAACAATTGTGTTATTAGAGGTATGTCTACTAACACCAGGGAGACTAAGATTTGAGAAAGAACAGTAATTGCATTATGCACTCACTCTCTGACCTTCGTAACACATATTCAATTATTCTTATTCATTTATTGAATGTCTCTTTGTGTAATGGAATATTACCCAGCAATAAAATGAATCAACTTCTGATATACACAATACTGATGAATCTCAAAAACATTACACTAAATCATGTATTCTCAATGGGGTGACAGCACCTTGTAAGGGGCAAAACATTTTGAGCTGTGAAAAAAAAAATCTTACTCTGTATAAAGCACAGGTGTATACACAGTACATAGACATATAGATATATCTGTGGTAGCAAAATTTCATTAAGTGGGGAGAGACAATTAGGGAAAAATACTCATTAGAGGGACCATAACAAACACAAAAAGTTGAGAAACATTACTAAATAAAAGGTACCAGCCACCAAGATTATATATTGTATGATATCTTTTTCTAGAAAAAGCAAAACTAACATGACAAAAAGCAAATCAGTTAGCCCAAGGTCCAGGTTGTCGGGGAAAGGATTAGTTTCTGTTTTATATTATGTTGGTTACCATTGCAGTTATTTAACAAAGCTCATTGAATTGTATACTTAAAATTGATTATTTTTATTGCATATAACGTATACCTCAATGAAACTTAAAAAAAAAAAAAAGATAATAATAACCCAACTTCAGGGAGCCTTCTGCATTTGTGGGCATGGAATACAATTTCAAGGAACTGTGACTCACTTAACTGAATATTATTTTTTTGTTGGCTCTGCAACAGCTGTCTCATGTTACACTGTGTATTTCATCCGTAGGCTGAAATCTCTCTACCTGCCTTTTATTTTCCCCTGTAGAAAAGTAGTTTTATCAAGGAGACATGAAATTATATTGTGTTCACATGTGAGTCAAGAATGAATGTGCCATCATAAGTTCTGCTCACCATTTCCTTTGGCTATTGGCCTAGTAGGATTGACTCCTAATTGAAGAAAGTAAAGTAAGTAAGCACATCACTTGTCCCAAGTCCTCTTTCTTATTATAAACTCTCATGATCGTTGCCAGATAACAGAAACACATGTTAAATATCTTCCATGTTTCAGGACTACACTACATCCTTGCCTGTACTTTGTCTTATTTAATTTAACCCTTACAACAGTTCTATGAATTGTGTAACGTATTATACTGAATTTTAGATGACAAAACTGAGCCCTAGCAGGATAAGTCATTTGACCAAGGTGTCCAAAGCACACACACACTCCCCAAAAACTTTATTATACATTACAGAGAAGCATTGTGAATCTCCTAAGTCCAAGTTTCTAAACTGTAATACAAGAAGGAAAGGAGGCCACGGAAATTTGGTTCTACTCACATGGTATGCCAATATATCTTGAAAGGTGCTTTTCTCTCTTTTTTGATATCTTACTTTCCCATTCCCTTTACTTGGCTTATAGTCAATCCCATATGTTAATTCACTCAATATCCACCTGAACCTTTTCTGGGCTGCTTTTCTGTACAGACTTTTTGCATCTACAGTGCTTGTATGTGCCTTAGTTTCTGCTAGTCTGTTGCACTATTGCAAAACTTGGAGGCAAAAGTGAAGCAAATGAGGGATGTCAATGTGCAGAGAGATTAGACCAGAGGTGTCTAATCTTTTGGCTTCCTTGGGCCACATTGGGGAAGAAGAAGAATTTTCTTGGGCCATATAAAAAATACACCAACAATAACTAATGAGCTAAAAAAAAAAAAAAAGTTAATAAAAAATCTCATAATGTTCTAAGACAGTTTACAAATTTGTGTTGGGCTACATTCAAAGCTGTCCTGGACTGCATGTGGCCCATGGGCCGCAAGTTAGATAACCTTGGATTAGACCATTTGACAAGACAGTGGTAGATTTATCTGGTTTCTCTAGGACTGTTATAATAGAATCCTGGATTTCAAATACTAATATGATATATTACACATAATTTCAATCACATTTTACATTAAATGTAAATAGATTAAACAGTCCAATTAAAAAATAAAGGTTGTTACACTGAATTAAAGAAACAGGATCCAGCTACATGGGTTTTAAGAAAGACATTATAAGTACAGGAATTATAATAAAAGTGATATATTCATTATGAAATGTCCTCTTTGTTTCAAATAATGATTCTTCTTTGAGATCAACTTTTGACATACTCAAGCTTTTTTGTTTATTGTGTGTACTTTATATGTTTTCCCTTTTTCTTGCGATCTTTATGATTACTACCTTTAAAATGTGTGCTTTGTAAATAGAAATTTTGACTCTTCCTTAAAATGTTATAAATTCAGAGCATTTTAATTCCATTTACACACTCCCTTCTTCTCTTATAGTTTTCATACTTTTTATTTCTATATATCTAATTAAACCTCACACAATATTATTGTATTGTATCATTAACATTCAATCCCTAGTCATTTATTTTTGTCCATTTAGTTTTCTTAACCATTGATTTTTATGTCTTCTTGAATTTCTGTGTTTCCATTGGATATAACTTTCCTTCTGCTGAAGAACTCCATTTTAAATCTCTTTCAGTACAGATTTCTTATGGATAAATTCTCTCAGCTTTTGTACGTGTGTGTCTGAAAATGTTTTCATTTCATCTTTATTTTTAGGATATATTTGCAAGCCATAAAAGCCAAGGTTGGCATTTCCTTTCAGCACTTTAAAGATGTTATTACATTGTCTCCTGCCTTTCATCATTGAGACTTCAGTTGTCAATATTGCCATTGCTTCTATTAAGGTTGCATGTCTTTTTCTTTCCTTCTTTCTTTTTAAGAAAGATATTTTTGCACTTTTGCCTGTGTCGGTTTTTTTTTTTTCTTCTTTGTTTATACTGTTTGGGGTTCTTAAATTTATAGGTTAATGTCTTTGTCACTTTTGGAAAATAATCAGTTTTACCCCTCCAAATATTGCTTTGTCCCAATCTGTTATCTCCTCTTAAAGTTCAATTATAGTTATGTTAGACATTTTAACTGCTTCCCTTCTGTCTCTACTTTTTTTCTGAATTTTATATACATTTCATCCATCTCTTCTTCCCTTTCTCCATTTGGATATATCCTTTTTTTTTTTTTTTTTTTTTTAAAGAACTTTGTTCTGTCACCCAGGCTGGAGTGCAGTGGTACGATCTCGGCTCACTGCAACCTCTGTCTCCCAGGTTCAAGCAATTATCCTGTCTCAGCCTCCTGAGTAACTGGGATTACAGGTCTCCATCACCACACCCGGCTAATGTTTGTATTTTCAGTAGAGATGGTTTTCACCATGTTGGTCAGGCTGGTCTCGAACTTCTGACCTCAAGTGATCCACCCGCCTCAGCCTCCCAAAGTGCTGAGATTATAGGCATGAGCCATCATGCCCAGTCTGGATATATTCTTGTTCAGTGCTTTTATCTTTGGTTGTTTCTATTCTGCTGTTAAACCAACTATAGTTCTTCATATCAGATATGTAATACTTTCAGTTCTATGCTGTGTCAGTCTTATACATTCTACATTCTACTTTGTGAAATTTTCTCATCTATTTCATTTTCTTCACCTTTTCCTTTAATTTTAATTTCTTAAATACTTTAACCATAGTTATTTAAAAAGGCTTGTCAAGAACATTTGTAGATATATTTCTATTATCTCTTTTTTCCTCTTGGTTTTCCATTATGTAATCTTATCCTTTGATATGTCTAGTAATTTACTAATAAGTTCTGTATATTTTTCTTAAAAAAGGTAGTGGTTCCAAGTAATGTTCTTTTTCTTGAGAGGGGTCATCCTTTCCACCACTATACTAACATTATTTTCAGTCAAGCCTTGTTTGCAGTTCTAGTAAGGCTTAGTGTACTTCTGGGTCTCCTTAGCCCCTTTTGTAATTTCAGCTACAGTCAACAGTCTTATCTCTGACTTCTTTTTCTGA